AGGGCCGGTTGTTCAATGTCTGGTTATCACTACCACTACACTATCGACGATTTCGACATCATGCATGTAACATGTGATCGATAAAGCAGTAGTTGTGCTTAACCGGAGCTTCTACCTCCGATTTGTGCTAATCAGACATTGAACAACCGGCCCTTAGTTATCGAATTTTCATGTGCGTCATTGGCATGCACAGAGAGTATCTGCTTAGAAAATCTTAGAACCCCGGTTCGAATCGCATCTGGCAAAAGTTTTATTTTATTTATTTATTTTATATCTAAAATTGGTTACAATGTAATGCAGAAGCGGACAATTGGTACGAGCCTAGGACATTCAGTGTTAAATGTAAATAGAATTTTACATGTGCTTGGACCAAACTTTGGACTACTTACAATCTCTTGTAGTCTACTTTGTGGTGTGCTCTAAGTCTATTTCAAGATCCTAAAGGGTGCTTATATAGTATGTTAGTGTACTCGTGGATCCGGTCGTGCTTGTTTATGGCACACTTGCTCAGTTTCGGTATGTGCATCAACAGCTAACTTCGTCCCCACAGACACCTCAGGTACGGCCGAATCTTGGGATAATTGAAGCATTGGGGAATCGCAAGGTAGAGGTACTGTGCCTGGGAACGAACGAGAGCGATTAGAAATACTCAGTTGCAATGGGCAACAAATATAAAGTCACTGGCCCTAAGATGGTTCTCGCACACACACGAAGAGTATTCTAATGAAACACCGCAGCTATTGTTGTCCTGGCTTTTGCCACACACAGCACACCGCTCGTAAATCCTATTCATTTTATTGTGTATTTAAAATCAGTAGCACAGCTCGCAGTTGAAATTTTAAACTAAAAAATTAGAATTGCTTTGTTTGAGTGTGGTATTGAAAAAAAAAAAAAAAATTAAATACTTTTTCAAACTGTGAAAAAGTACCACTCCTTAAGGACGTCATCTATATTTCCTCAGGGCTTAAATAATTTTTTCAACTACGCAAAAACTTTGAAAGAGTAAGAATTCGCTAAAAGGAGTAGCTAACCATGTCTTGTATGCAAAACTCTTTTACAATGTCAGAATATTGAGAAAAGAGTTTTAAGTTATAAACAAAAGCCATTCGGATATTCAAATTTGTTGATATTGAACTGAAAGTTATTTTTGAGATAACCATAACACAAGGTTAACCACTGAGAACATACTTGAAGTTTGCTAACATAACAAAAATGTTTTAAAATTTTCAAACTCAAAAATCATTCTCACGTTCAGAGTCAAATAAAAAAAAAATTGAATATTTTCGTCTATTTGTTTTTTATTTTACTTTTATTTGGCATTTGAGTTGCTCTGAAAATTTCAATTTTATAAAGTAGACAAACTTCAAAAAATAAATGATGGCCGACGAATTGAGCTAGCGGTTTTACTTTTAAATATTTGTATCATGGAGATAATTAACACCACTCGACAAAAAAATGTCCGTCTTCTTTTTAAATAATTTAAGCTCCATCATAATATCGCAACTGGTACGTAACAATCCGGCGATATGCACATAATTAAATTATTTTCTTCTTACTTTTTACAGTACAGTTTAAAGAAGTTCCAACGTCATGTGAAAACCTTAAGAAAATCCTAAAGTATTTTGTTTGAATTGAAAATTCAGTACAAATCAGTACAAATTTTGGAAATATTAGGACATTAGCGTACTGATTGAAGAAATGAATAAAATCACTATAAGAGTTGAAAAACCAGTACTGTACTGATAAAATCAGTACATCTGGCAACCGTAATGTCGAGCAACAGTTTGAAACGTGTCCAATAATTAATAAGAATTTATGTTTGTGGACACATATGAATCTTGTAAGTTGGCGTTTACTCACTTTATATAAAACGCCAGGATTATGAAGGACTATTGTAATTGTAATTAAAAAAATAAGTGCGCCTGGGCCACACTAGAGAAGTGAAACTTACGTTACTTATCTATTTTGTCTCATAACCAATGTATACATACACACATCTGCTTTTGCTTAAGGTTATATTTTTTCTCTTTTTTCTATCTAGATCCCAACCTCTACCCCTGTTCGTTTTATATGTTATTCTGTTTGTCCAGATCATAGCTACGAGATTTAGATGCCATACTTAACTAAGTCTGTCCCCAGCTTAAAGCGACGAGCGTAATGATCATTTGTAATTATACGATATATGTTATATTAACTCGCGCTCATTGTTATCTATTGGAATATGCTCTTTACATTCTGTCACACTAGCTTGTATAAATAGCACACATGTTAATGCAATAAAGCAATTCGTTCGCTTGTTGTCAACCAGTTTTGAGAGGCACATTGTTTTTTTTTGCATCGCAGTTCTTTGTGTAGAAAGGCAAAGACGTAGACAAAAACGCTTGTCTCCCCCGAACATTGGTGACCCCGACGTGATACTTACGTGTATCTCTGAAGCAGTAGTTGTTGGATTAGCTCCGTTATTAACATCACCAGTTGGATCGCCTGATCGGTTACCGTTTTTTCTTTCTGGCTCACCTTTGCTTTTGTTCAATTTTACACAAGCATAAAGACTCGAGCAAATAAAAGACGTGAGGCTATTCGAGAACAATCGGAGAACTGTATAAGAAGACAGTACGCTTGCATCCCTGAGTAAGATCTTGGATGCTACTAACTCGGTTGGCCACAAATGTATTGTAATTTGCTGCAATGCCGTTTATCCATGAAAGCGCAATTGTTGAGTCTGACCAGCAAACAAATTTTCCTGTAAATGGGCTCAGCCTTTGTATTGAAGAAATCAGATCAGCCAATAATTTAGCCGCACAAAGTTCCAACTTCGGAATCGATAAAGATTTTAGTGGTGCTACTCGGGATCTAGAGCAGAGCAGGTTTACATGCACGACATTATGCAGTTTTACTCGAACGTAAACGCACGCTCCGTAAGCTGCCATACTAGCGTCACAAAATCCATGCATTTGAGCTTCGCCCGCACCAAGTTCTACAAAACGGGGAAAGTAAATTTTATCCACAAAATTCAACTCGTCGCACAATTTTGTCCATGCAAATTGTAAATAAGACGGAAGGCTTTCATCCCATGTTAAATTTTCTTTCCATAAGCTTTGCAAAAAGACTTTCGCTTTTAACACCACCGGACCAATTAGACCAAGAGGATCATAGAAACTAGCGGTTACTGACAGCACGCTTCGTTTTGTTACCCGTCTGGGCGGAGGGGGTAAGCTAAATTCGAATTGAAGTTCATCCCTTTTAGGGTCCCAAACTATACCCAAAGCCTTTGTGATGCTATTGCCGTCACTGAACTTTAAATATTGTTGCCGATTAGATAACTCAATTCCTTGAAGGATCTTCTCGTTATTTGAACACCACTTTCTAAGTATGAAATTTCCCTTTTCCAGAAGTTTTTGTGTTTGCGTCATTATTTGCAATGCTACATTTTCTGACTTTCCCCCCGAGATAAGGTCATCCACATAGAAATCTCTCAAAACTATCTCTGATCCTAGAGGATAATTGCATGCCCCATCAAATGCCAACTGATGCATCACCCGAATGGCTAAGAATGCCGCTGGTTTGGTTCCGTAGGTCACGGTATCCAATCTATAAATTCGATAATCCTCCTCTGGCCGCTCTCGCCAGAGTATGCACTGTAAAAAACTGTCGTTTTCGTCCACCTTTACGCACCTGTACATTTTGCAAATATCTGCTGTTATAGCGATTTTGTGGGACCGAAACCTCAAAAGGGTGTCAACAAGCTTTGGTTGTATGGTAGGACCAGAAAGTAAGATATCGTTTAACGAAACGCCTGTGGAAGTCGGAGCAGAAGCGTCAAAAACCACACGAAGTTTAGTTGTGGTGCTATCTGCTTTCAATACACAATGATGCGGTAAAAAGTTTATGTGAACCCCGGGGGGAATAGTTTTAATCAACGACATATGCTTAAGTTCTAAATACTCCTTAATGAAGGCAGAGTATTCCGCTTTCAAATCAGGATTCTGTGAAAATCGCTTCTCTAGACCTCTAAATCGACGAACCGCATTTGAATAAGAATCACCTAAATTCGAAATGGTGGATTTTATTGGTAATCTAACTACGTATTCTCCTGTATCCAACCGACGAAAATTGCTAACAAAGTGGTCCTCACAAACCAGGTCCTCTTTAGTACGCTTTATGTTTTCCTCAGCACAGTCTTCTATCTCCCAAGAACTTTTGACTAAATCGTTTAATGAAGTGTCCGCGTAGTTACTTGAAGTAGCAGCGCAGACTACTGCTTTCGAAGACCCGACTTCAACCTTTCCTGCCACAATCCATCCTAGTCTTGTTTTTTGCAATATTGGAAGGCCTTGTTTCAGACAAATTTGCCCCACGCATAATAGTTCGAAGAATAAACTTACACCAATTAATAAGTCAATCTTCTGTGGGCGAAAAAATGAAGGATCCGCTAACGTGATATTTGCCGGAATATTCCACTTAACGTTCGACAAATTTGTTTCAGGCTGCAATGTTGTGATGGTTGGCACAATGACAGCCGAAAGCGATGTGGAATAGGACCCATCAGAGGCCTGCATGTACAAAATAACGTTTTCCTTTGATAAAATATCAGATGCTCCTATTCCCGAAATTATTGTTGTGGATTTAGATTTGCTAAGTTGCAAGCGATTGGCCATATCTGAAGTTATACAATGCAATTGCGATGCGGAATCAAGCAAGGCTCTACATGGAACGAAGTTCCCATGGCGATTTTTTAGCATAACGACAGCAGTAGCTAACATAGCCTGCTCCTTAGACACGAATGCAACAGGCTGCTTGGAGTCTGCAATAAGAGCCGTTTTTGTCTCCGGAGATGCCACTGCCTCCTCGAGAACAGGAAGAGCGATTGACGACAAGTGAAGCAAGGTATTGTGTTTGCCTGAACAACTTTTGCAATTGCTTGATTTGCAATTTTTCACGATATGACCTTTTCGCAAACAGTTAATACAAAGCTGCAACCTTTTGGCTTGAAGCGCAGCGAAGGTGATAGATTTAGAAACAAAGGGCACGTGGAAATGAAATGCTCTATACTATTGCAAAATGTGCACCCTTTGGCAGGACTGGCGGTGACAAATGATTGTTTACGAATGGAATTATTTTTATGATTCACCTGTTTTCTTGAACTGAATGTAGTGTTTTCAACGCTCTCCATTATACGTACTCTTCTTTCCAAAAATTTAGACATCAAGTCCCACGAAGGTAGCTCGTAAATCGGTGCATGCTCTTCCCACTTGGATTGTGTTTCGACATCTGATTTGGTGGTGACAATATGGATGAGAATGCCGTTCAGTACTTCGTCGTTAGTCGCAATTGTTTGTAGTGCCCGATGATGACTGCCAATTTTATCGCTGAGCTCTCGTAAGCCATTTGCGGAACCTTCTGCAACACCCTTCAAATTAAAAATCTCTTTAATATGTGCATTAAATTGAGCTCTTTTAATATCGAAACGTCTTTTTAGTAATGTTACCGCCTTTTCATAATTTTCCGCGTTGATTTCCAAAGACCGAATAGCATCTAAAGCGATTCCACTTACGCATGACCTTAGGTGTTGAAACTTCTCGACGCTTGACAAGTTCGTCTCCTTATCCACGACTGCACTGAACATTGCCCAGAAGTCTGGCCATTCCGTAATTACTCCACTGAATCGGGGTAACTGCAACGGTGGCAAACGAGATCTTGGGACCACCGTGATGGAGGGCACTGCGGAATGTTCTTCCATCGTCGACTGCCGACGAGTGGAGGATTGAGCGAACGTGGAAGAACGTTATCCAAGGCCTTTCGTAAGTGCAGCTTTGACAAATATAAATGAGTCGAGGAATTCCATACGCGTTTCACTTTCAATTTCGGCGTTGTCTTCCTTCTCCAGCTGCGACTGTACCTCTTCAAATTGCACCTGCATTCTTTCCAACTGCTCCAGTTTTACAATTATACTGGATTCATCTGCGCCAAGTAGGCTGTGTTCCTCGATTTCAGCTCTAAAGTTGTTAACTTGCCTTTTGAACCACAAACTTTTTCGCTTAAGAAATGTGATATTTGG